GGTATATGCCATCTTCTCATTGTGGTGCATCTGTAAGAAAATAATTAAAAAATTAATTTTTTGATGAAATATAATGATTAAAATACTTTTTGAAACAGTCAAAGGTATTTTGGTTATTTTATTTTATTAAAAACATTTTTTTTTATATTTTTCGCTCGTGCGAGTTAAATATATGAATGGACGTCTAAAATTTGGTGTGAAAATAATTTATAGAAAAAAAATTAAAAATAAAATAGTGTAGAGATGTGACATTGTGATTGGGGTAATCTTAGCCCTCCTTTCAGAATGGACGGTTGGATAAAGGGGAGGATAGTACTTTAGGCTGGAAAACTTGCCCAAAACTTAAATCTTAGATGGGGTTTTTCCCTTAAATGGACATAATACTTTTACTTTTGTTGGGGATTGTATACTATGAAATCATATATCTTTGTTACATGGAGATTGGAATGGTTACTAATCTAATATTAGACCTCAAAATGAATGGCTTGAGGTGTTCGATTTTTTTTTTTTTAATTAGCCAATATACACCCACAACCACCTTATTTAAAATCTAATGGAAAAGAGTGATTATGTGAATGGTCTTTTATATACTTTTCCACACTCCTATTGGAGCATAATACAATAGAAATTTAATAGTAGATGACATATTTAAAAATAACTACGGCCCATTTTGGGCTCATGGAATCCAAGCGTCCAATATTCAAGGTCCTCATCCGGTAATTTTTAGTGATTTGCAACTCAAAAGCCACAATTCTGAAATATAAATATCTCTCAATGTTGAAGAAAGTCCACATTGAAAACTAGTTTTTCCTTTCCACATTGAAAACTAGTTTTTCCCGACTCTCATCCATTGCTTTGATTTCAAGAGAGCTGTTCGGTTCAAATAAAAGGATAATTATGTCCCTGTTAACTCTCAATAACGACGGCCAACCACATGTCCGAAACAAACATTTTTCGTTTTTAAATAAAAAATAATTAATAGGAAAGGGGCTGGGTCATGGGGATAACATCCTCACACCCATTACTAGATCGTGGTAATTATTCATACCATTGACACCTTCAATTAACACTTTCAAAATATAACTCTCGAATCTATTGAAAACGGGAAAACAGGTAGGGATCTGTCTTTCCCAATGAATTATAAAAAAAAAACAAAAAAAAATAAATTAAAAAAACAATTACATTGCAATTTTGATGAGAAGATGAAATGAGTGTCTTGACCCACTCAAGAAAAGGGGCTCAACTGTTATAATAATCGTGTCTCATGCGGATTTTGTTGTGACGATTTCTCTATTTTGAGTTCTAGAGTTTTCCATCTCTTTTCCAAGAAAGCAACTTCATTCCGATGCACCTACTACGCTCTAAAAAATATTTTGTCAACCCCCTTAATGAGGGACAAAGTAAACCTTAGCAATCAATCTCACTTGAGAGATCCAAAGTAGGTAAATTGAATGGGCGCAAGCATAGTTATTAACACAAGTGCGAATCGGTTGATTAATTGGGTTAATCGGTCAAAATCAATATTTGACATATTAGATTTGTCATTTTGATTCGATTCAATAAATTAAATGATTTTATTTTTTTAATATATTTATATTTAAATTGTTTTTCATAAAAGATCAAATTTAACATGTTTGACCGGTTGTTGGACACCAAACCCCTCAGCGGGTTTGGTAGCTAAATCTTGACAAAATTGGCCTTGAATGTTGCCGTGTCTCCTTTGGGCATTTGTCTGTGATTTTCTTGATACTTTTTTTAATGGCGTGACGTATATATACCTCATTAACTTCTAAATCAGACGTTTGTTAGTCTATTTACCTAGCAAAAGAGAGAAATGAATTTCATCTTGAGTACCCATATTTGGCACAGGATCCATATTTGACTTAAGCACCTGTTCATTGAAATTTTTTGAGAACATTAATTTTATTATTTTATTTTTGGATTATTGGCTTTTTTCCATAGGGAAAGTTTAACAATATTAAAAAATGGTTCCGTTCCAAAAATATCTATCTTTAGAATTTAAAATTAATCGGAAACTATAAGACCATTTATTTTTTTGTACGGTTTGTATAGACCCGAGGTTCTAAACAATCAAAATAGAACCCACTTTCAAATAGTGTCGAGAAATATGGTTTTAATACTGAAAATCTTTGTGATAGCCTTAGAATATATTTTCATCTTAAATTATAGAATTAAAAGCTTCAAAAATAGTTTAGATCGAGCATATCTATGGAAAATAAAAAATCTTGAAAATTAACGGTCAAAAAATGCATTATAAGATGGACTATTTCTAAAGCTTGAAATCCATTTTTTTCTCATGTCCACGCATCTTGATGTTAAGAAGATCAATTTGAGGATTGTTGGGCATCAAAACAATCTTTTCTAGTAAAATTTTTGAGTTCCGCTCTAATTTTATTGTTTAGAGTTTTTGCTCTGTATAAAGTTTTTTCTTTAGTTTTGATATAAAGAGGTAACATTTACTTTTAGCCATTGAAAGTAAAATCTAACAGACGAAAGTATACCACAACATTCAAGAAATTTTGCTGTAGATTCTGTGCATAAATAATGACATGTCCTTAACTACCCGATTTAAATAATGACATGTCCTTAACTACCCGATTTCAAATTTGGTGGTCAATGATGATTGTAACATCATTATTGTATCAAAAGTAAATGGTCACATTGTATATATTTCAAATTATAAATGAAATAAAGTTTAAACTAATATTGTTTTATATAAAGTTCAAAATAACCTATTTTTATAATCTAATCTTAGCTCTGAACCTCCAAAAGAGAGAGGAATGAGTGAAGTAAGAGTTTACATTGTTTTGAGTGCAGGGTTTCAGGAAGATAGTGCCCGACCGGTGGGAGTTTTCCAATGATTTCTTTCGAAGGGGCGAAAAGGCCCTCCTCTGCGAAATCCACCGTAGGAAGGCATCAACAGTGGCCATTTGCTCCAAATCAGCTGCCGCGGTCTCAGCATCAAATTCAGGTGACGATCAGGCATCTTCGTCCACCTCGTCCACTGATCCCCTACCTAAGAACCTCCATGAAACCTCTTTCTCCGACCTCTCCGATGAGAATGAGAAGCTCAAGAGGGATAACTTTCATCTTGCCTCAGAGCTCCTTCAAACCAAGAAGCAATGTGCCGATCTCATCGCTTTCCTCTCGAAATGCATAAATGTTTTGCCTGAACAAATCACTAAGATCATGGAGCGCGGGAGCAATGTGGATTGTGGGTCTTATGTGAAGGAAGGCAGAGATGATGATGACGAAAATGATGATCAGAGTCCTAAGCTCTTTGGCGTGAGGCTGAGAGTGAAAGATGAGAAGAATAAGAAGAGGGGTTTCATGGGAGAGGGGGTGAATGGGCCTCCATTGAAGGTCAAGAAGCTTGATTTGGAGACCCCTTGGATGAGGATATCTTCTCCTGAAGGCAGCAAAGTTTGCCACTAGGGGGAGGGGAAAAAATAAAAAATTTAAGGAAAAAAATTGTTATTTTAGAATCATTTTAAAAAATTAGGAGATACATAACAACAAATCAATGTGGGGGAAATCACCGCATGGTTTGGGACTCTGGGTTATTAGTAAGTAGTTTTCTAGTGTTATCTGGGATTGAAAGTTCACTTTTCACAGGTTTCCTTGAGCTTTTCCATTTCCAAAATGTAAGCAGAAAAGCTCTTAGATTGCGAAAGTTCTAATTGTAATTAATGTGCAGCAAAGGTGTTTGATGATTCGTGGTACAGTTTTTATTTAAAAGTAGAAATTTATATAAGGTTGCAATTTTAAAATGTAGAATTAAATGTGCATCTCAAAAATTCATTATAAAAGGTTGTTTGGAGGTTTGAAGACCCTCTAATTGATCAACTTGACATCGGGATATATGAATATGAAAATTAAAAAAGATTTCGAGTCCGTGAAGCTGTGTATCTTGCAACATATTATTTGGATTGTCAATTCTTAATATTTTCATGAGTTTATAAATCTATTTGATTTGGACTATTTTTAGAATTTAAGATTTTATAATTAGAGATAAAAATAGATTATTAAACCATTCTAAAAAATTTTGACATCAAAATTATATTTATGAAAAAATTTAGAGGTGAGCTTTAATTGGATTGTTTAAGGGTGCAATCTCATGTTCGGTTTGTATAGAGCCTAGGCTCTAAACAATCAAATTAGAGCCTACCATCAAATAGTGTCGAGAAGTGTGGTTTCAATATTGGAAACCTTTGTGATGGCTTTAAAGTATATTTTTATCTTTATTTGTAAAGTTTATAGCTTCAAAAATCGTGTCGATCCAGAGATCTATGTAAACTTGAAAATCTTGACAATTGACGGTAAAAAATGCGTTATAAAATTACTATTTCCAAAACTTGAAATCAATGTTTTTTCTCATGTCCATGTATCTAAATGTTAAGATAATCTATTTGAGAACATTTGGGCATAAAAACAATCTCTTCGGGTGAAAAATTTAAAGTCTGGTCAAACTTGATTGTTTAGAACCTCGGCTCTTTTTAAACTTTTCCCAAAAAAAATCTCTCATCCTTTCTCTCTTGTTTTGTTTTTGTGAATGGTAGGGATGGGGGATGGGAAGTTATGGTAAGGAACTAAGTCGCCAAACTGCTAATGCCCCGACACTATTCCCCATAAAAAAAAAAGAAGGGTATTTCTCTTAAATAATCGTCGGGTGCGCTACTTTGCTTGATATCAAGAATTCGAACATATCTATAACCACAAAGCCAAATCCGAGAGGCCTACATGTTGTAGGCACTTGGTGCTCCTTCGTAAATTTAGGGGATGCTATTTGTAAGTTGCTGTCTAAAATTTCTTTTCAAAAACTAAAAAAAAAATTGATTGATATCGATAAAAGGGAAAATAAAAAGGGAAAAGTTTATATAGAAGAGGAGGTTTTGATGCTCAAATATCTTCAAATTAATCATCTCGATATCAAGATGCATTTACATGAGAAAAAAATAGATTTCTAGTTTTGGAAATTGTGTATTTTGTAATGCATTTTTAGACGGTCAATTTTCATAGATTTTGTCGATCTACACCATTTTGAAGGTTTAAACTTTACAACTAAATATAAAAATATATTTTAAGGCTATCACAAAGATTTCCCGTATTGATACTATATTTTTTGATACTATTTGAAGGTAGGTTCTAATTTGATTGTTTAGAGTCTAGGCTCTATACAAACCGCACCCAAAATAAAAATTCCCATGAGTCTTACAAAAAATGTATTTACTTACTATTGCTATAGCACTATAATTATATTATATCTCCCTACTATTATTTCGTTTAATGCATGAAAGTCTAATCGTTTCTTTAAAAGATTTAAAAACAACCAGTTGTGTTAACTCTTGACTCGGGTGGTGGGCAGGTCGCCAGAACTGTCCATGCAGATCCATACTGCCCATCGGTGCTGTGACTATCGGTGGCTTGCAGTTGCCGGTGCGGGCAGTCCCGATGGTGATTTGCGACCTGACAAAACCAATTTTGTGTGCCTTAGGCTGGGTTTTTCGGCAGCCCGACCTCACATCCTTTTGTTTCCCGACATTGCTGTGAGGTGCAAGCAAATGCCAAAAACCGGCAGAGGGGCTAGTACTTTTGGGCTTCCAATTTTGCCTTAGAAAAACTCTCAAACTCATCTTTCCTTCTCGGGTCATCTATTGGTTTTGGGCAAGCTTTCTATGTTTCTCCTACAACATAGAAGTTATATCCTCCCTTTTATCCAACCATCCATTCTGAATGGAGGGTTAAGATTGCCCCAATTACAATGTAACGTCTCTATATTATTTTATTTTTAATTTTTTTTCTATAAACTATCTTGACACCAAATTTTGGACGTCCATTCTTCTATAAAACTCACACTAGCGAAAAATATAAAAAATATATTTTCAATAAAATAAAATGACCAAAATACCCCTAAAATTTTCAAGAGGTATTTTGGTCATTATATTTTATCGAATTTTTTTTTTAATATTTTTTATAGTGGCGCCCTAATGTGAAGATGGCACATACCAAATTTTATATTCATACAATTTGTATAAAAAAAAACCTAAAAATAAAATTACTTTGAGACGTCGGATCTAAGATCAAACGGTGAGTGGCTCTCTTGATCAAAATTAGACGGCGATGGCTGGATGGTAGGGGGAGGATAGAACTTTTATGCTGTAGGAGAAGCATAGAAACCTTTCCTTTTGGTTTTTGCTAGGGCACGAATAGGATATTTACTCTAATGCCTCTCTTATTTCTCTTAATTTTTGACCTTGGACCTTTTCTAAAATGGTGTGCTATAGCTTTTGTCCTTTTTAGGCAAAAATGGGAAAAGGCTATTTTCCCTGTCATTCTAAAAGGGTTTTTCTAAAAGGTGTGCAATTCTTACTCCCAAAAATAAAACTCAAATTTACAAAATAAGGGTGAGGATTGTGTAAGGTATAAACCTTATACTATTGAAGTAATATGCGCCTCAAAACTATGCCGAAAATAAGTTTCGGTGCCACAAAGCCTTGCCATGATATGAAAATTTATTATTGCCCCCAATTACAAAATTTAGAGTTCTAGAAATGGTGACAACCAAGCAGATCTATAAACACTTGAAAATTTTGTAAATGGACGGTCCAGATAATGTATTAGAAGGTGAACAATTATTAGGGCGAGAAATCCCCTTTTTTTCATGTCTATGAATGTCGAGGTCAAGATGATTGATTTGAGGGTTTTCTAGCATAGGAACAACCTTCACTAGTAGGTTTTTTAGGTGCACCTCACAGTATAAGTTTGAGACCTTATATAAACATTTTCCACAAAATAAAGGATACTGAGAAGACTTACTGAACTTTCGCCTAAGGTTACTACCTTAAGCCCACACACGATTACCTGAACGATGTCGAACTTAATCTTTAGCTACTGAATCCATCAAACTAGAAAGTAGCTCTGCCACATCCTTTTCAAAAAACTATGAGGCAGAGAGCATAGGGTCACGACCAGGGTTTTCTCTAAGACCTTTCTAATTTTTAGGGAATGCCACTGGGTTGTACCACCCCTAGCCTAATCTAGTGTTGAGCATGCCCCTTTTCTCTCTTTTTATTTGGTGTTGTGTGCCGCCCCTATATCCTTTTTTAAATTGAAATTACAATTCTCGTACAATCGGAAGTATCACCATATTCAGGATCCCAAGGGAAGGGCCGTACTGGTTTGGCTTTTTTTATTGTTCCTGTTCAATAGAAAACTAGAGTCCCACATGTTTCCCAGGAGCACATACAAGAGAGAGAGAGAGAGAGAGAGAGAGAGCTGAAAATGTGTCGAGAATGGGGAAGTTCACCTTCTTACATAGGCCGTAAGAGTCTTAGGATATTCCAAAGAGATCAGGATTCAATATTATTTAAGGATAACTAGGTAATTTGTGAAGTGAGAGAGAAATAATCTGAGTCATCTATCTTGAAATCAATCATCATGATTTAGGAAGGATTCTAGGAACCTTATCCTCATAATCTTTGACTCATATCCCTTCTAATCTATATAGATTTTAACCAGTCAAATCTCATCTTTTAAATGAGATATGTAGGAATTCCAAAACAAAACAAACTAGATCAAAATATAATCTGAATTCCTAGAATCTCTTACAAAATATTTTCACAAAGATATCTCTAGATTGTATTAGTAATAATATTGTTTACACATGAATTTGGACCGATCTCTGAGGGAGATCAACTCAAATTCCTGTGAAATGAGTTAAATTTGTAGATCGATAGAGATAGTGGGGGTTCGCTCAAATTATAAACATAGAATATTCATAGATCTTGCAGGTTTGATCCTCTTTTATTATCTAATAGTAGTGTTAGTTGTAAATTTTGCCTTGTAGACCTTAAAAAGCTTAAAAGTACCTAACTAATTTTCCTAAAGATGCTAGTAAAATGAAGATTACATAAATAAATTAGAAATAAAAAAAATAATGACATAAAAGAAGTAGACAAGAAATTACTTACCTTGGGGGACCCAAAATCTAGAGTTTCTTGCTCTTGCTCTTGTGACACCATCTCCATTAATGATGGCTTTTGGCTGTTGTAATTCTTGTGATTTGGGTTGGTTTCCCTAGATTGTGTTTCTATGGCTGAAGAAAGCTTAGAGAATGGGGCGTTCCACACACACACATACAAAGAGAGAGAGAGAGAGAGAGAGAGAGAGAGAGAGAGAGAGAGAGAGAGAGAGAGAGAGAGAGAGTAGTAGAGTAGGTACGTAGTACGTACGTACGTACGTAGTACGTACGTACGTACGTACGTACGTACGTACGTACGTACGTACGTACGTACGTAACGTACGTAACTTAAGTTAACGTTAACGTTAAGTTAAACGTTAAACGTTAAAGTTAAAGTTTAAAGTTAAGTTAAGTAAGGTAAG